GCCTAAATCATACAAATTGGGGGTGAGGTGGCTATGGAGGAGATGGTATCAGGTATGGCGTTCCTACAACCCTGCTCACTACGATCACACATACTAGGTACAGCAAAAGAGAAATAAGCCAGTGTATGTAATATTTTAAATACTATGATCCTAAGATACACATTCCTTGCTTCTTGTTAACTTACTTTTTTTTTATTCTCACCTGAGGACATTTTTTCCATTTTTTTGTTCAGATAGAATGGGAGGCGGAGAGAGGAAGAGAAAGAGAGAAACATCGATGTGAAAGGTACACATCAAGTGGCTGCCACCCGCACGACCCAACCAGGGCTGAGGACAAACTGCAACCAAGGTACGTACCCTTAGTGGGAAATGAACCCGGGTCTCTCTGGACCGCAGGCCGACGCTCTAACGGCTGAGCCAAACCAGCCAGGGGTACTATTTTTTACTTTTTTGCCTACCAAACCCACTGCTTATTTTTATTAGTGATTCTTCTTGAAATTTTGAAAAGATCCTTTATTTTTAAAACCTCTAAAGAGAAGGCTGTGTAAAAATTACTGGTTGCCCTGATATCTTTTCCTACTGTACTTTTTTTGAAGCAATATGTAATTTAATAGTTATATATTATACTGACTCCAAGTCCATTAGAAAAACTATATAATCTTTGTAATTTTGTATTTCAAGAGTATACCAAGGGAAGATTTCACAACTAAATGTTTAAGTTTGAAATGTGGACAAAAGAAAGATTCTAACTACATGTATATATAAAATTATTTTACATAATAATGTATATCATATTAAAAAAGAAAATCATCAGCCCACCTAGTGTGGCTCAGTGAATTGCGCATTGTCCCATGGCCTGAGAGGTCCCAGTTCAATTTCCAGTCAGGGCATATGCCCAGGGTTGAGGACTCGATCCTCAGTAGGGGGCGTGCAGGAGGCAGCTGATCAATGTTTCTCATTTCAGTGTTTCTATCTCTCTCTCCCTTCCTCTCTCTCTCTAAAATATCAATAAAAGCCTGGCTGGTATGGCTCAGTGGTTGAGTGTCGACCCCTTGCATCAGGAGGTCGCCAGTTCATTCTTGGTCAGGGCACATGCCCAGGTTGTAGGCCAAATCCCCAGTGGGGAGCATGCAGGAGGCGGCCAATCGATGTTCTCTCTCATTGATGTTTCTCTCTCTTTCTCCCTCTCCCTTCCTCTCTCTTTAGAATCAATAAAGAAAATAATTATTAAAATAAAATATCAAGCCCTGGCTGGTTTGGCTCAGCTGTTAGAGTGTCAGCCTGCGGTCCAGAGAGACCTGGGTTTGGTTCCCGCTAAGGGCACGTACCTCGGTTTCAGTTTGTCCCCGGCCCTGGTTGGGTTGTGCGGGTGGCAACCACTCAATGTGTCCCTTTCACATTGATGTTTCTCTCTCTCTCTCTCTCTCTCTCTCTCTCTCTCTCTCTGTCTCCCTCCCTCCCTTGCTCTCCCTTCCACTCTATCTGAACAAAAAAATGGGAAAAATGTCCTTGGGAGAGGATAAAACATAAAAAAAATATATCAATAAAAACATAGTTAAAAGAAAATCTTCAGATACATTTTTGCTGTGCCTGGAAAGAAGCAAGTATTTTGAAACTGGTTTAAGAGCTACACGTGATTCCCAGGTCTTACGTTTAATGACTTCCATATCCAACTATTGTTTTTCTCTACCAAACCCTCTTTTACCTAACATGTTATACAGGGATGTTTCTAACAAACTAAAATAAAAAGGCTTGTATCATTGAAAAAAATGACCTCACCAAATACAGCAAAAAACATATGCTTTTTGTACTGTAACATGTACCACCAAAATTTTCTTCCTGGAATTGTGGGATTCCACTACTTTTTTCCTTTTCTTTTCCAGAGTGTGTGTGTGTGTGTGTGTGTGTGTGTGTGTGTGTGCGTGTGTGTTCTCTAGTCTCTAGAGACATAAAATACAATCTCAAGTTAAAATATTCAAGAAACTGGGTTACTATCAAACTACCTCCCAGATGAGTTGAAGGAAAGTCAGTGGAGAAAGTACATGGCAAACTTAAGATATTGTAAAAGCCTAATGTGATGCATTGAGAATTTTATTATTTCTACTGCAATTTAGATAAAAATTCATCAGTTTTTTTCCTCTCTCTTGTCAACAATTTATCATTTCATTCATTATATTTTTATGGGTTGATTCATCACATATTATACTAATTAATTCAACTATAATCTCATTTAGAATGTTATGCAGCAAATGTTCATACTGGAAAACTCTAGGTTGTGAGAATATGAATAATGTCTGTTTTATTTTTGTTGATATATAATTTAGTGTAATGGCCAGCCAGCTTTATAATAAAGGAAAGGCTTCAAATGCTGACTAACTTTACATCAGTATACAAAAACAGCTTGAGGACAAAAGAAAAAAAATACACCTGTAAGAGGACCAAGAACAGAAAGATGGGCAAATGGAGGAAAGATTAGAAGGATAAAATATAGCTGAGGGAAAGAGGTAGGAGGTGGACTCAAAGGAGGAGGGTGGGGAAAGGGGTGGAGCTTGAATCATTGACTCAAGGTCTAAGTGGTAGCCGGAGGGCTATAAAAGTTTGGTGGAGCAAGGGAAAGCATCCTGAAGTTCAGGATTGGCACACTGGCAGAGGCTGGTAGGTGGCAGTAGCTGCCGTCTCTAGACAAAGGCTGAAATGCCCAGAGCAAGAGAGATTAGGTCCAAGATGCCACACCTGTTCTTTTTCCACCTGCTAGGAAGTTGGCTGCTACTGAGTCAACTTCCCAGAGAGATCCAAAGCCAGGAAATGGAAGTTTATACTAAGTGCAACCTCGAATTAGTCCGTTTCTTCATCCATGTCTGTGGCACTCATGCCTGGGCAGAGGATACGAGGGACCAGTGGGCAGAAGAAATGAAGGAGCAGCAAGCAGAGGATATGAGTGAGCAGCGTAAGACAAGATCTGGATCATCTGCAGGTGAGAGCTACTGATGCCTAAAAGTTTGCGCTGTTCCCTTATAACTTGCTTTTCTAGTAAGGGTCTCATCAGGGATATCACTAGAGTGAGGGAAAGCTGTGGGACCAGCAGACGCTCTCATCTGAGAGGTATGTGGTGTCCTTCACATCCTGGAAGCCAGGGTGACTCTGTGGGAAGAAGGGGTAGCCACAGAGGAGATAAGGTTGCCCAAAGACCCATAAGAGGTCGGGCAAACTGGAGCCAGATCCCAGAGCCAAGGTCTGTGGGCTGGACAGTGGGAGTGCTGGTGGCTGGAGCAACTGGATAGAGCATCTTGAGAGGACAGGAGACAGTGAGGTATGAGCTCATTATCAAGCATGTCTGAGGCAGAACTCAAGAGACCTCCCATAGGGTCTTGGAGAGGTAGACATGCAGGGCCTTGGATATAAAGACTTCCTTTCTCTGGGGCATGGCCCATGCCATTGAAAACCTCCTCTTTCTTTTAATTTTATTTTTATTTGTAAACTTCACCAAAGGGGATGGCCTAGCCTCCCACTGCCTTTTTTAAAATATATGTTTTTATTGCTTTTTTATAAACAGAGGAAGAGAGAGAAAGAGAAACATCGATGAGAGAGAGAGAGAGACATCAAAGACTGGCTGCCTCCTGCATGCCCCCTACAAGGGGATAGAGCCTATAATCTGAGCAAGTTTCCTGACCAGGAATCGAACCAGCAATCTCTTGGTGCATGGGATGATCTCTTGGTGCAACAAACTGAGCCATACTTCCTGGACCCCACAGCTTTAAACTGGGTCTTGAAAATCATTTGTGAGAGAAGGGATTGAAGATTTTCTTTAAAAGGGCCCCGTCACCTCCAGGAGAAAGTGAAAGGGACCAAAAGTCAAAGGAATTTTGCCCTCCAGACAAACACAGCTAAACTACTGATTTTGTTGCAGAATCACCTCCCAAAAGTCTGTGTATTAATGTGCTAGTAAGCCAAAACAATGAGACACTGGTTCTTGGAGATAGAGAAAGGTTTAGTGAATTTGGCTGAGGTGAGAGGATGGGAGAGCAAGTTCGCTCAAACCCATCTCTCCCTAAAAGCAAAACTAGGGAGCTTTTATGCAGCTAGGGAGTAGGGGAGGGAGAGTTCCAGGGAACTGAGAAAGAAGTTTGTGTTTCTTTAGTCACAGATGATGCTTTTCCATATCAGACTCCTGGGCATAAGCAGCTGGTCTCAGCTACCTTGAGGACATTCTTTCCTTCTGCAAAACAAACTCAAATTCTCCTGACGACCCTGAAGTTATTTCTTGCTTGACAAAGAGACAGTACAACAGCAACGTATGAGTACACTTGTGAGAACAAAAGGAGCTGAGAAGAAAACAAGGTTAACGTATGAACAAGGGCCTGATTAAGAATTAAATTATTTAATGCTAGCTGTCAAAAACAGTAGGGGAATTAAAATCACAAGTGGCTTAGCTACAATTTGGATTAAATATTCTGTGGAAGAGAAATTGTTAACTAGTAGATGTATGAGGGTGTCAAGGACTGGTATCAGCTCCCTAAGAGATCAGATGAAAATTCTGCTTTTTAAACTTTATCTTGAAGCAGTAATTTTCCACTGCGGAACATTTGATAGCTGAAAAGAATTCATATACTCTTCACTGGTTATTATAACTCAGAGGTTACTTAGAAATAGAAGAAAATTACTCAGGTAAGAAAAATCAATATGTGATTAAACTGAGTGTTATTAATGACCAAGATGACTTCAGCTATGTCAGATAGAGTTGAAGGGCTTTGATGAAAGCATTAAGGAGACATAAGGAGAGGTAACAGATGGTCCAAGTGAAATAAAGCACTACAACCTTGGTAAATTTGTAGTACTTTAAGCTGCCAAACTAAATTATTTAGCTATCAGGATACTTACTGATTGTCTTGATATTTAATTTTATTGAGGTGATGCTTTCCTTTATGTCTATGCAAAATTTTAGTTTTCCTGACGTTCATTGATATGAATATTTTTCTCCTCCCCCTCTTTTTTTAACTTAGAAATCATGCCATTTTCCACTGCCAAAAATGCAGATACCTTAAATATGAGGATGGAATTCATTCCTGCCTTGCCACAGGAGCCGAAGACAACACTGATTGAGAGGCAGCCGTTATTGAAAGAGCTACTACAACAAGCTACATCAAAGGATATAAATCTTAACTTTGAAGAATTTAAGAAAAATAGACTCCATAGACAAAGTGAAGCAGAAAACAAAAGTCTTTCAGAATTAAAAAACATACGCTTAATTAAACATTTCCTAAAAAAGCGACAGGTCCCTTCCTTATTATCTCACAAGTGTTGTTATGTAGGCTGTACCAAAAAAGAGGTGGCTGTCTTCTGCTGAGATGAAGCTAACTATATTTCATCACATGAATTCTCAATGACACATGCACTGATGCCTCCATCACCCCACTGATTATTAGAATATGAGAAATCATTATTAGTGTTTGGGTTTTTAATTGTGTATAAGAAAGCATTCCTTGCATTTTTGTAGTTTCTGCTAATAAATACTTTAATGCTAAAAAGTATTTTTGTCTTTTGTATTAATGGCATAACTATGTTAATTGCTTTTTTAATGCTGATAACTTAAATGCCAGTACAATGTTTATCATTTCACCACACATAAATAATTTAAAAATTTTTTCACGTCTGGCCGGTGTGGCTCAGTCAATGGTTGAGCGTTGACCCATGCACCAAGAGGTTGCCTGTTCAATTCCCAGTCAGAGCACATGCCCAGGTTGTGAGCCCAATCCCCAGTGGGGGGCATGCAGGAGGTGGCCAATCAATGCTCTCTCTCATGGATGTTTCTCTCTCTCTCTCCGTCTCCCTTACTTTCTCTCTAAAATCAATTAAAAAAAAATTTCTTTTTAAATTTTTTTTCACAAGATAGTTAAACTCTATGTCTTGCATTAGTAAGAGTAGATGTCTATTTTTGAAATTTATATTTGATAAATTATGATCTGTCACCTACTTTTCCCGCCAGAACTTATATCCAAATTTTCTTTCACTATTTAATATTAAGCAAATTATTTTAATAGCAAAAGAAAAAATTAAAAATAACTCTGGGTACACAATGCCTAACACCGGGTACATAAAATGGACCAAAATATTTTTACTGATATTATCTCATATCAGATATACAAAGAGTCACAAAATTTGGGACTTTTCTAGTACATTTTTAAAGATTTTTGTGTCATATTAAACTATTAATTGCAAACAATCAGATTGGACACTATTTAATTCAGTTAGGACCAAATAAACTTAAGTATTTTTAAACTAGAGTTCCTCTCTTAATTCTACTAAGACACTAAAAAGTAAAATGTGTTTTTTTAAGGAGAAAAATGAATAGCTATATTTGAAAGAAAATAAACAATTCAGTGTCATATATTATAGAAAAAGTGGTTTAGCAAGGGTATGTACTTTACGTTTAATATTTTAGAATTTACAAACCATTTCTGTAACAAAGTAACTCTAAATTTATATGACAACTTGTTAGAATAGTAAATGAACAAAGTTGTCATTTTACTATTTAGCCAGTTCCTTCAACTTACATACACATAAAATTTTAGAAAAATGCACTTAAATACCAAGTAAATCTCCACTAAATGTCTGTAAATAGAATTTAAAGGGATTAAGAGTATAATTCCCATATTTCAAATCCCCATACATGATAATAATAACCAGGCTTTATTAAATCCTCACTGCAGCCAACTTATAAATCTTCATAAATGGCTGCAGAACCTTAGAAACCATAAGCCATTTTGGACAAAACCAGGAAGGTGCTATCTGAAATGAAAAGTCCAACCCAGGAGACCAAAAGCAGTGACCAGGAAACTTTGTGCCCAGATAGGACAAAGAGGCATCCTTGAACACAAAAGGCATCTCCCCAGACCCTGCCCTGGCCTATGTCCTTCATCTACTCCTCCATAAAAGCTCTGGAGGCAGAACTTCTGGTCCAGAATCTGCATTCACTACTTCTGATGATATGACCACTTTTTAAGTGGTAAAAGACAATCTCTAGTTAACCATGTACTGTAAACGCTCAATAATCAGTTAACATTACTAATATATGGAGCAGGAACCAGGTGGAGGGGGGCAATGAAGGAAAAGAGGGGGAAACATCTGTAATGCTCTCAAGAATAAAGATAATTAAAAACAAAAGATATCCAATTATTGTGTTACTGAAGTTCTAAAACTCTCAAGAAAAATTGGTTATTGTATGCTTAATTTATTTTTCTTTTCTTTTTTAAATATGATGACCGCTTTAATTAGCTGCTTCTTTCAGTTTTCTTTTAACTTATCTTTATGGTTGAATGTATTACAGATGTCCCTCTTTTATCCCCCCTTGACCACCTATTCTCCAATCCATCCCCCTCCTGCTTTCCCCACACTATTGTCTGTCTATTGGTTATGCATATATGCTTATATGTCCTTTGGTTTCTCTCTTCCTGCCCCATCTCCCCCCTTCCCTTTGAGGTTTATCAGTCTAATAACCAATTTGTACTTCCTAATCCCTTCATCTTTTTCACCCAACTCCCCTCCCATCTGGCAAGCAACAAAAAGTTCTCTGTATCAATGAGTCTGCTTCTGTTCTGCTTGCTCATTTTGTTTGTAGATTCAATTGTTGATAGATTATGTATTTATTACCATTTTATTGCTCCTATTTTTCCATCTTTTCTTCGAGAAGACCCATCAACATTTCATATAATACTGATTTGGTGGTGATGAACTCCTTTAGCTTTTTCTTGTCTGGGAAACTCTTTATATGCCATCGATTCTAAATGACAGCTTTGCAGGATAGAGTAATCTTGGTTGTAGGTCCTTGCTTTTCATCACTTTAAATATTTCTAGCCACTCCCTCCTGGCCTGCCAAGTTTCTTGTGAGAAATCGGCTGATAGTCTTATGGGAGCTCCATTGTAGGTAACTAACTGCTTTTCTCTTGCTGCTTTTAAGATTCTCTTTGTCTTTAACCTTTTGCATTTTGATGATGATGTGTCTTGGTATGGACCTTTTTGGGTTCATCTTGTTTGTGATTTTCTGTGCTTCCTGGACTTGTATGTCTGTTTCCTTTACCATGTTAGGAAAGTTTCTTGTCATTATTTTTTCAACTAGGTTTTCAATTTCTTGCCTTCTCTTCTTCTTCTGGCACTCCCATGATGCAAATGTTGGTACATTTAAAGTTGTCCCAGAGGTTCTTTACACTATCTTCTTTTTTGGGGGATTCTTTTTTTTTTTTTGCTGTTCTGATTGGGTTTTTTTGCTTCCTTATATTCCAATTCGATGGCTTGCTTCTTGGCTTCACCTACTCGACTATTGATTCCCTGTAAATTATTCTTTATTTCAGTTAGTGCATCCTTCATTTCTGACTGGTCCTGTATTATGCTCTTGAGACCCTCACTAAGTTCACTGAGTGTCCTTTGAACTCTGCAACTGTTAGATTGCTAATCTCCATTTTGTTTAGTTCTTTTACTGGAGTTTTGTTCTGTTCTTTCATTTGGGACATGTTTCTTTGTCTTCTCATTTTGGCTGCCTCCCTGTGTTTATTTCTATGTATTAGGTACAGTTTCTGTGTCTCCTAGGTTTCCTAGGGTGGCCTGTTATAGTAGGTGTCCTGTAGAGTCCAGTGATAAAGCCTCCCTGATCACCCAGCTGGGCTCTCAAGGTGTACCCCTTGTGTGGACTTTACACTCTTCTGTTGTAATTGAGTCTTGATTGCTGTTGGCACATCAATGGGAGGGTTTGACTGAGCCTGTTTAGCTGCAAGGACTGGCTGTGCCCACTAACCACTGGCCTCTGACTACTTTGGATGATCAGCTGAGAAGAGGCCCACTACACAAAGACTTACTTCATCAGGGCTCTGGTACCCACTGAGTCCATTCCTTCAGTGTGTCACTTGTGGAGGTGGTTGGGTGGTGGCGCTTTGATGTGGTCTGAAGCTGTCCACTGGGTGTACTAGCTCTGGGGCAAGGTCAGCCACTGCCTGTGTTCTACCCAGGGCCACCAGGCATAAGCTACAAAGCAATCTGCCGATGGCTGCTTCTTGTGCTGGGCTTGGAGGTACCCAGGTGAAGCCAAGCTGTGAACCAAGGCTGGCTGCTTCTAGTACTGGGCCTGGGGCTACTTATCATGTGGCCAGATGCTGCTTATTTGAGAGAATTTAGGAAAATCTCAAGCAAGAGCTAAAATAGGCCAAGCCTATGGTAAAACCACTTGGGTGGGCCTGAAGGTTGGGTGGGACAGGGCCACAGGGAATCACCAGGGCAGGGCAAAAAGTGTAAGCCAGGTTGCTGGAGTCCCATCTATGATAGCTGTCTGCCTGCCCTGTGGGGAAGGGCTCACCGAAGGAAGAACAGCCTCCACCAGCACGTCTGTCCAGGAGAAAGCTGCCTCTCCAATACTCGCCTGAATGCCGAGCACCTCAGTTCTTCCCCATATGTCTCTGGTACCTTTCAAGCTGCCTCCCCTCCATGCTGGAGCTCAGAGGGAGCAGGTCAAAGTAAGTCCATGTGTGGGCCCTTTAAGAGGAGCTGCCTAGGGCTCCCTCAGCCTCAGCCTCCCTGAGCCTCAGTTACTGCTGGTTTTTACAGCCAGAAGTTATGGGGACTTCTCTCCCTGGCACTAGAACCCTGAGCTGGGCACCTGGTGTGGAATGGGGACTCCTCACTCCTCAGGGAGGACCTTCACAACCGACATAGCCCTCCTGATTTTTATCTGCCACACGTGGGTGTGGGACCAGACTGTCTGCACTTCTGCATCTCTACACCTCTTCCCTTCTGCCCCTCTGCCCCTCCTTCCAGCCTCCATGTGGCTGCTTTAATTTCATAGTTGTAGGACTCCCATTCAGCTTGATTTCAGGCAGTTCTGAAGGATGTTTGTTCTGTAGCTTAGTTGTAATTTTGTTTTTTATCTAATTTTTTTTCTTTATTGATTTTAGAGAGAGAGAGAGAGATAGAAACATTAACGAGCGAGAACAGATTGGCCGCCTCCCGCATGTTATATATATATATATATATATGGATTGTGTTCTCTGTAAATAACAAAAACCTTACATAGCTTCAAAGAAGCCTATGGAGTACGCATTCAGCATTGAGCATTGTTTAGCATGGGGATGAGGTCAACAGGCGCCTCTCACCTTTCTAGTCAGTTGTGCGTAAGCATAAGGCCTTCCTCTTTATGCTCCCCACCTCATGGTCCCAAAATGGCTGCTTCACCTCTGGATCTCAATGTGCATTTTTAGGCAAGAAAAGAAGGAGAGAGAAGAAGAGTTAGTGCCTGGATCAGAAAAGCAAAGTCTTTGCCAGACACCTCCACATGTGTGCTTATTTCACAGTGGCCAGAGCTGTGATACAGCTACCTGCAGGAGACACTGGGAAATCAGTTCTAGCACTTACAGTCTAGAGAACTGATGGAGGAAAGGGAGTAGGGTCAAGAAAGGAGATTGGGTCAGTCATTCTATAGCTTTGCTCATGCTTGCTGCTCCTATGCCTATAATTACTGTTTCAAAGACATTAATCTTTATTTATTAGCCTTCACCATTAGGAGTAACTCCAATTGGAGTTGGATCTGAGAGATATGAGAAAAAGAAAGAAGTCTTTGGAATCTAGTAGGCATAGGTAGGAATTGTAGCTCCAGTATTTACCAGCTGTATGCATGAGCGCATTTATTTTTTTCTATTTAAAAAGGTGAAAAGGACAGAAAGTTCCCATCTGCCCACTCACCCACAAAAAGTTTCCCCTATTATTAAAATCTGTCTTTCGATGCACAAAAGATTTGTTTGATGTAGTCAAATCATCTGTTTTTCCTTTGCTTCCTGTGCTTTTGATGCCACATCCAAGAAATCATTACCAAACAATATGTCATAAAGTTTCCACCGTGTGTTCTCTCCTAAGAGATTTATAGTTTTAGCTCTTATATATAGGTCTTTGACCTATTTGAATTAATTTTTGTATATAGTGTAAGGTAAAGATAAAATTTCATCTACCTTTTGTGAATAACCAGTTTTCTTGTACTACTTGTTAAAAGAAAAGTCATTTTCCCACTGAATGGTCTTGGCACCTTTGTGAAAATTTGAACATGTATGTGAGGGTTTTTATTTCAGGGCTCTGTATTCCTTTGGTCTATATATCTTTTCTAATGCCTCCACCACACTGTATAATGTAGCTTTGTAGAAAGTTTTGAAATCAGGAACTTTGCGACCATTCCTGAATTCTGTTCTTCTTCTTTTTTTAGATTGTTTTGACTATGCTGGGTCCCTTCAGATCTCATATAAATTTTAGGATGTGCTTTTCTATTGCTGACAAAATATATCATTGGTATTACGATAGAGATTGTATTAAATCTGCAGACTGCTTTGAGTAGTATTGACATCTGAATAATATTAAGTCCTTCAGCCTATGAACATGGAACATCTTTCACCTAGTATGTCTTCTTCAATTTCCTTTAGCAATGTATTGTTGTTGTTTTCATTATACAAATATTTTGCCTCCTTGATCAAGTTTATTCTAAATATTATATTCCTTTTTATGCTATTTTAAATGGGATTGTTTTTTAATATCCTTTTTCAGACTGTTCATTGTTACTGTATAGAAATCTGATTTTCTGTATTAATTTTACATACTGCAACTTTGCTGATTTTATTTATTAGTCCTAATTGTGTGTGTGTGTGTGTGTGTGTGTGTGTGTGTCTATGTAATCTTTAGGATTTTCTACATCATGTCATCTGTGAACAGAGAAAAATTTACATCTTCTTCCTAATTTGGATGCCGTTTATTTCTTTTTGTTGCCTAAAGGTTCTGGCTAGAACTTCCAATACTATGTTGAAAAGAAACGACAAAAGAGGGTATCTTTGCCTTGTTTCTAATTTAGAAGGAAAAATGTTTAGTGTTTCATTGAACATAATAACTGTGGGGGTTTTTTTCTTCATTTTTGACCTTTATTATGTTGAGATATTCCTTCTGCTCCTATTTGTTGTGTTTTTGTCATGAAAAGATGTTGAATTTTGTCAAAGTTTTTCTGCATCAATTAAGATGATCTGTGGATCTCTTCCGTCATTTCAATTTATATGGTATGTAACATTTTCAGATATTGAACCATCCTAGCATTCCAACAATAAATCCCAATTGGTACTGGTGTATGATCTTTTGACTATGCTGCTCAATTTGCCTTGTTTATATTTTATTGAGGATTTTCTACATAGATATTAATAAGTGGTTTTAGTCTGTAGTTTTTTCTTGTAGTATCTTTGTCCGGCTTTGGTATAAAGATAATACCGACCTCATAGAATGAGTTAGGAAGAAGAGCTTTAGGGCATTCCCAAATGGTGGCAGATAAAGTGTAAGCTACACTGACTTTCTCCCATGACCAAACTGGAATTACAACTGGAATATGGAAAAATCATCCTGAATAACCAACTGAGGACTAGCTGGAGAGAACCCTTATAACCGAGGACATAAAGAGGAGCCCACATTGAGACTGGTAGGAAGTGTGGAGGCGTGAGAGGGCCAGCTGGGCTCCCACAGGCAGCAGCTGATGTTCCAGAGGGATATCTCAGTTGCAGGGGGTTCCCCCTAAGAAGGCTAGGGGCTAACCCCAAGCTGGGCTCCCTAGCTCAGAGTAACAAAACTGGGAAAGGTACTTACATAACATCTGGCTGTGAAAAGCACTAGAGGGTCTGTCGGGCAGGGAGAGATGACTAGAAACACAGGCACCCTCTTAAATGGCCAAAACATTAAATTCCATTTGCAGCCACTCACCTTGGGCTCCTGCAGAGGGAGGGCAGAGTGGACTAGAGCTGCATGAGGAAAATCTGGAATTGATGGATCTTGGGAGAGAAATGGGAAGGCAGCCGCCAAGATGCCTGTGCTGTCATTCCCCCACACTGCAGAAGCCATCTTTCTCAGGCAGAGTTTTCCCATCAAAGCAGCTTTAGCCCAGGGGAAACAAATACCCCACCCATTGGAAATTCTCTCACCCTGCCCTGTGGAGTTTATGCCTGGCTGAGGACTACAACCTGAGGCTCCTTAAGTGGCTAAGACTAAGTCAGCCTGTAGGTGGAGGTGAACCTCTGGGTGCTTTCAGTCTCGCCTGCCTGCTCCTGTGCCCTGGGCTAGGAAACCCAGACCTTGGTGTTCATGTACACCCAGCCCCAGCAGAGGAAGCCACAAGCTGCAGATCACTCCAAAGAGGCCCCAAACCAACAAACCCAGTGGCCAGCTTTAGATAACAGAGCAGGCCCCAGTAAGCTTCACAAGCAGTATATCCACAGGGAGATTTTACCTAAATGAATCTTTTAAATACACATACACATACTCTCACACACATATTTCATTGCCAACTTGGCGCCAGGCCCTGAGGTACAAGGGGAAGCCACAGCAGACTAAGGAACTGCCTTCTTGAAGCTCGGGGACTTAGGGGGAGAAGTTATCCAGCAGGCACACAAATGTGAACAAACCGACTCAGATAAACACCCTGAAAGAAATGAGAGGTTTCTCTGAGGAGGTGACATCCCATTAACAACCAAGAAAAAGGGGCTACACTGGAAGGAACAGCATCTTTTGCGGCTTTTTCGGTAAACTGGGGCCCTATGTTTCATTTATTCAGTCTCTCCAGTGAGGAAGGAAAGAAAAATGGAATCAGTCGTGCTACTTATCACCGGCTGAGAGCCAAGGGGAGCGCAGGAGGCCCAGGTCCCCCGCCACCTCGCGCCACCTCGCGCCACCTCCGCTCCGTTCTCACGACGTCCGCACGCGCTCAGAAGCCCTACAGGGTTGTGCGCGCGCGCGTGCACGTGCCCGGCTCGGGCGCATGCGCGAGGGCCTGCGCAGGGCTGAGCGGCCGTTAGCGCGCGCGGCCACCTGGCTGCGGGGCTCAGGGATGCCGCGTCTCCTCTGCTGGTGTCTGCTGTGTTTCGAGCTCCTGCTGGTTCGGGTCTCCCTTGAGCAAAGCTACAGAAGCAGTGCCAGAAAGCTGTGTGGCGAGCACCTCCTGAAAAGAATAGTAAAACTCTGTGGCGATGTTGACTGGAGCCACTTCGATGACAATACCCCTTTTAAAAAACAGCTGGTTCTCCAGGCCTTGAAGAAGGTCGACAGCGTCATCCCCGACCAGTGGGAAAGCTCCCTAACCACGGGGGGGAGAAGGACACACACAGGTAAAAATCTAAACCAAAGGCGTGTTTCTTTATCTCTGTATTTCTTATCCCCGAATCTGCTCTGCCAGTTGGGAAGCTTCCCCAAGAAATGGAATTTGTGCCAAGTGCACAGGTAAATAAACCAGTATATTGTGGATATACAAAACCTCTAAGAAGCGTTTTTTATTATTATTATTTAGAGGAAATAAATGTATATATGTAAGTCTACACATTTGTGTAAGAATGCTGCTTCTTCCCTGGTTTTCCCTTGCTTGAGTACCGTTGTCACCTGGCAAATTCCATTTTGTCCTTCAAAGGCTAACTTAGGTATCATTTTCCCTGGGAAGTCACTGCCCCTTCCATAGCCACTCCAGTGTCTGTCCCAGCACAGTATTAACACTGTGTTCTATTTGACCTCCACCCAGACTGGCCACATAACGGGGCCGGCCCAGTGCAAGAAGCAGGAAAGGGCCATTAAGGTTACTAAAATGCAAAGCTTTCCCCCCCGCCTTTCTTGGCATATCTCCTCTGCTCACATATGGTTGTCCCATCAGACTTCACTTAGAAGTTCAAAGATAAAATTGTTGAGAATTTCAAGACTGCGACAATACAGCACTAAACAAAATTCAGGGTTCTTCTAAGTGCTATGTCTGTACAACGACACAAGCCTTATTCCCGTAACTTCAGCCTCTTGTACCGTTCCTCCTCTCAGGCATGTTTTTATCTGAAATGCCTACCAGAGGGCCTAGCACATTGTATGTGCTTACTATATTTTGAAGTTATACTAAATGCTTTTAAGCAGTCTTTAGGAAGAATATTCTTGTTTCAGAGCTATTATTGCCTTCTAACTATGTTTTTACATTTTGTGACTGACACATTTTAGTCCCATATGGTTTGCCATTTTTTTAAAAAGAAAGTGTGCTTTATTTATAGGCTGTCCATAGCATAGTCTGATTGAAATTATTGCCTTATAAAAGTAATTACATTTATTTGATTTGGATATATTTTGCAAAAGTGAAGATTTCTGAAATTAAGGAAAGGATAGGACTATCGTGCCAAAATAAGAGACCCTAATGTTGATGACTGAAGCAATCCTATCTCACTATAGGCACTCATTAACTTTTTGAATGAATTAATTAATGAGTGAGTGAATGAATGAAACTTATAACATTAGTGCTGCTAAGGGCATAAAAACTTTTAAAGACAGAAACAGTAGAAACCATCAGACCAAATCTTGATCATTTTCCATCATTAAACCTACCTACATATAAACTCATTTTATCCTGCTCTTATAAAGGAAGCAGTGTCTCCCTGAAGTCTTTCACTTATATATTAATTTAGTGATTCTCACACTTTAAAGTGCATATAAATCACCTGGTGAATACTGTAAATATACAGTTTCTGATTCAGTAGGTCTGGGATGGGACCTGAGAGTCTACATTTTTAAAAGTTCTCAGGTGATGATGCTGCTAGTTGGATGCTTTTTGAGTAACAAGGGTCTAGTAAATCTCTCTATCTATTCCTTTTCTCCCAGAAATGCAAGGAGGACCTTCTCTTTCTACTTCATGTTGGGTGGGCATTTCTCTCACATCAAATATTGTGCTTTCACTACCTATACTACAATCAAAATTTTACTTTCAAAGATCCAAGCTCGAGTTTGTTGTTTTAAAAGAGCTTGGAATCCCTTTTCTTGACAAAGCCTGCTAGGGAGACTATTTTCTTTTTCTTTTTTATTTTTATTGTGGTACGTGCCCCTAGCAGGAACCGAACCTGGGACTCTCTGGTCCGCAGGCCGACGCTCAACCTCTGAGCCAAACTGGCCAGGGCAGAGACTATTTTCTTAATTCTTAAAAAAGTCACCTTTAAAACTCAGAGCTGATTAATGACCCGTTTGTTTCAGACATTATTCACACTCCCCTGGAGGAATGTGTCATTAATTCAATGAGGAGAGAGCTGCAATGCAACAAGATTTGTGGGAAATAAAAATACACCCGACAGTATTTCAGTATTGTCATACCCATTCAACATGTTACTGTGGGAACTATGTAAAGGGCATTTTGCTGAAGTGGAAATATCATGTGGCAATAAAGCCATGGTTTTTAACTATGTGGAAGAAGGAAAAATAGGTTTAGGTTATCAATATGAATTTGCATTAAAATTAAAAGTTTTTTTAATCTTTAAGGAAAGATAACATTTAATATGACTTATTAATTTCCAGTGAATAAATAGAAGTAGAGAGATACAGATCTCTCTGTATCTGTGTTTCTGTTCTGCTTGTTCATTTTGTGTTTTTAGATTCCATGTATAAGTGAAATCATCTAGCATTTTAATCTTCTGATGATCTATTTACCTCGGACACTGGAAAAGATAGTTTGGTACACTGACATTCAAAAGTGCTTTTCTTTCAAAGCAACTCATACATAACTTGAATCTGAAATTGTGTACTACTTGTTAGTGGATCTTAAAGGTATGGGCCATGTCTCCAAGACCTACCCCAAAATGAGGCTTCATGAAGCTGACATTACATTTCTACATTCTGGCTCAGTATAGTGCTTCCCAGCTCTTAGTGCCAGGTGAAACCATTAATGTTTCATCAGCAGCTTTTCATAATTCATAACACCTGTTCCGAACCCGAGACACTCTGATCCGCAGGCCAACGCTCCAACTGCTGAGCCAAACCAGCCAAGGTACCCCCTCTCTATATATTAATTCAAGAAAATTTGAGTGCCTATTATATGGTAGGTATTTCTCTTGGTACTAGGGATATAAGGTGAACAGTTTCACTCGGGAGGCAGGAAAGGCTCCTGTCCTCATGAAACTAGCAGAATAGTGAAGATAGATGATAAACATACATAAATTATACAGTATGTACACATACCACAACATGGATGAACTTTGAAAACAGTATGCTAAATGAAAGAGACCTGACACAAAAGGCCATGTGTAGTAGGACTTCATTTTCATAATAGGAAAATCCACAGAAATAGAAGATTAGTGGTTTCCAGGGACTGAAGGATGAGGGAAATGGGAGTGACCACCACTAATAGGTATGAGATTTCTTTTGGGGTTGATAGAAATGTCCTGCAATTACATGGTGGTGATGGTTGCACAACCTTATGCATACACTAAAAAATCACTGAACTGTATACTTTAGAATGCGGAATTTTATGCCATGTGATTAGTATCTCAAAAAATGCCTTTTTGCATAAAAATATGCCAGTGTTTCTAAGCCTTTTTTTTTTTTTATGGGAAAGCACTATCTACAAGTAGTTTAGTTAAAAATATATATTACTTTTGAATAACCATTTTATTATTTAAAATGTGATTACTTGCTTTTTAATAATTAACTAACTTTAGTATTCCAGTATTGTGATTAAATATTTAGCTAGAGGAAGATTTTAATAAAGTAGAATTTTTTCTTGTCTCTCAACAGTCTCTACTACTGCCTCTCAGGAAGAAACAACAAAAATGGATTTGGAGATTCATTCACCTCCTGTGTATCAGTATAAGAAGGACTTCATGCTACTTAATAAGACAAAAGAATTTGCCCCATCACAAGATATCAGTTCATATGTTAATGAGATTGTAGAATTTCAGGATAAAAATACAAACAAAGTTAAAACCTTAAGGAAATTGTTTTGGGGGAATCATCCCCAAAGAATACGCAGAGGGTACTCAGAAAAGTGTTGTATTAAAGGATGTACAGAAGAAGAACTTATTATTGCATGTCTTCCATATATTGATTATAAAAACTTAAAGAACGATAAGCATCCATTGTGACTGAGATATACTAATCATCATAGCATTTACTAACTTAATAAAAGCTTAATATATTTATTTTACTTTTTATTTATTTATTCATTTATTTTTAATAATTGTCCTTGTAGATTCTCTGCTGTGAACACCTGAATGTACTTGCAAGTACTTGACAATAAGTTATGGTGATAATAGAAATCTTAGTATTTTCTTTGTTGACCCCTATTTTTCATAATTCTTATATTTGAAGATGTTACTGGAAATGGCATGATCCATGTAGACATCTAAGAATTAACCTTTTCATCCTTGTCGTTATGGTTGAAACTCTCTTAACTGTATTTAAATGGATTATGGAGAGTTCTGCATTCCATGTGTATGACATACAGATTGAGGCCCATGACTATTAGGTTTACTCCAGTATGCCAATACATCTGTGCCACTAACTTAAAGATAACTAACCAACTACCACTCCTGTAATAGTAGGTACATTTTTAATTCCTTGAGTTTTATTAAAGTAACTGGTCAGAAATCTCTTTAGTTTCTATTGAGGACTTAAAAAGAGTTCATCTCTTTCAGTTGTAAAATCTCTCCAAGATACTCTGTCTTTGCTTGGAAGGTACTGATAAAATTAATGTGACAATCTATTCTGGCTTGATTTCTGTTTTGAGTAGACTTGAATGATAAAGTCCCTGACAGTGATTCAGATAGCAGTTCTGAATTGGTTTAGGGCAAAGGTGGTAAATGAGTTTCATCTTAAATGGAAACTGCAAATGATTAGTAGTGGCTTGCTTATTTGCAGTCCATGTCTCTACACATGCATTTCAGACCTCTTCAACAGTCTAGTTCAATTCTTCCTCCTGTCTTTTCTGCTATTTGTGCTATATCTTCTATTTCCACATCTATTATAAACCACACAATATATTTGTATTTTTTGTTTTAAATAATTTTCTTTTTTATTCATACACTTTTAATGAGATTATTGCCATTGTGTACATTTTCTTTAACTGATTTACATTAAGTCAATGTCTGTGATGTGGCCATCAAAAATCTGTAGTCCAATTTAGACTCTAGTTTCTTAAAATCAACCACTGCTGATTGCTTTCATGAAGTCTTTCTACACTGAAAACTCATAATCAGCATGAATTTTAAATATACCTTCTGCAGTGCAAACATTTCTCAGGTCTGCTCTATTAAAGCTATCTGGAAACGACATAATTGCTTCTAATAATCTATTTTATCATGCTTTGTAATGCTATCTCCATGTATTTTCAATATATCTAATTTTGCATATAAATAAATCTATCTGTATTTTTTCTACATGCCTAGAGACAGCAAAGCAGAATCCACTGTACTTATTGTAGCTATAATTTTTAACTCTGTGCACAGCATTGTATCATCCATTTGATTTAGTAACTCCATTAAAGTCCTCTGAATTTACCAACTGAAGAACTTTCAGAAAACCAACATCATCAGTGGCACCTATTTATCTATTAAAACGATGCATGGCTGATGATCTCTTTATAATTAAACATTTCTCTAATCATATAAGCATTTTCATTAATACACTTGTCTACAATAGAACTAGATAGAACGTTTAAGAAATTGCAGTCCAGCCCTGGCCAGTTTGGCTCAGCGGTTAGAGCGTCGGACTGCGGTCCGGAGAGACCCGGGTTCGGTTCCCGCTAAGGGCACGTACTTCGGTTGCAGTTTGTCCCCGGCCCTGGTTGGTCGTGCGGGTGGCAGCCACTCGATGTTTCCCTTCATGTCGATGTTTCTCTCTCTCTCTTCCTCTCTCTCCCTCCCACTCTATCTGTACAAAAAATGGAAAAATATCCTCGGGTGAGGATAAAAAAAAAAGAAAGAAATTGCAGTCCAGTTGGCTAACAGTAGCTCTTGTTACTAGTGTTTTTCCTATAACTGGTGGTCCACATAATAGTCTTTTAGAGGTAGTATTCGTACATTGGAATAATTCTAAGTTTTTTGGAGTTTTTGTTTGTTTGTTTTTTATCCTCACCTGAGGACATTTTTGCATTTATCTTCAGACAGAGCGGGAGGGAGAAAGGAAGACAAAGAGGGAGAGAAACATCTATGTGAAAGGGACACATCGGGTGGCTGCCACACACACGACCCCAACCAGTGCTGGGGACAAACTGCAACCGAGGTGCATGCCCTTAGCAGGAACCGAACCTGGGACTCTCTGGTCTGTGGGCCGACGCTCTAATCACTGAGCCAAACCGGCCAGGGCAAAGTTTTTAAAAGGTGATTCCATTATCTCTCTTAGTTCTCTGATCTGTTCTGATAAACCCCCAGTCTCAGAAAAAAATAAATATTCCCTGTGACTTTAGGAGACATGCTTTAAACCAGTGGATTTTAGCAAATATCATTGTAATCATATCCAAAGCAATTCTTATTCTGGCTTTAGCTTACTTTTTCAAGCTGACAGTGACAACCTACAACATATACAGATAGGTCCATTCGTAGATTTAACAATTATTTTTTTTTCCATTAGGAAGGGGACAATGGCGGGAAAGGGGGGGGACATCTGTAATACTTTCAACAATAAAAAAAATTTTTTTTCTTCCATTAATTCCTTAAGTACTTCACTCACAATCTGTCCAGATTTTGTGATTGTGGGGATGGCCTTCAGATCATTTTCAAACTTTTCATACTGATTATTCCCTAAGCTGTTTAAGGCAGCTGTTGATCTTGTGCTCCAACATCTTGTTTTGTGATAGTCTTGAAGTTCATTACCTCTATGGTCTACAATGATGAGATGTCATCACTCGTGGGGGATGCCAAGAATGCCCATGGCATATATGGCGAACCCACAGCTAACATTATACTCAATGGGGGAAAACTAAGTGTTTCCTTTAAGGTCAGGAACAAGACAGGGATGGTCCACTTTCACCACTCTTATTTAACATAGTACTGGAAGTCCTAGACAGCAGACAAGAAGAAATAAAAGGCATCCAAATTGGAAAGAGAAAATTCTCATTATTTGCAGATGACATGATAATGTATATAAAAAACCCTAAAGAGTCCCATCAAAAAACAATAGAACTGCCCGGCCAGTGTGGCTCAGTGGATTGAATGTCATCCCATGGACTGAGAGGTCCCAGTTAGATTCCTGGTCAGGGCACATGCCTGGGCGGCAGGCTCAATCCCAGGGGGAGTCATGCAGGAGGCAACTGATCAATGTTTCTATCTCTCTCCCCCTTCCTCTCTCTGTAAAATATCAATAAAAATAACAAATTTTTTTAAGCTACTAGAACTGGTAAATGAATTCATTATAGTAGCAGGATACAAAATTAATATTCAGAAATCAGTTGCATTTTTTGTATACCAATGATGAACTATCAGAAAGGGAAACTAAAACATCCCATTTATAATTGCATAAGAAAAAAACCTAAGAATAAATTTAATCAAGGATGTAAAGGACCTATACTCAGAAAATTATAAGGCACTGAAGAAAAATACTTAAGAAGATACAAATAAGTGGAAGCATATAGTGTTCATTGATAGGACAAATTAACATAATTAAAATGTCCATACTACCCACAGCAATCTATAGATTCAACACAATTCCTATCAAAATACCAATGGCATATCTCACAAAACTAGAACAGATAATCCAAAAATGTATATGGAACCATAAAAAAACCAAATAGCCATCAGCAATATTGAGAAAGAAGAACAAATTTGATGTATCTTATTACCTGATATCACGCTATAATGCAAGGCCGTAGAAATCAAAACAGCATGGTACTGGCATAAAAACAGATTTATAGATCAATGGAACAGAATAGAGAGGCTTAGAAATACACCTTTATGGTTAATTCATATTTGACAAAGGGGACAAGAACATACAATGGGGTAAAGACCGTCTCTTCAATAAATTGTGCTGAGAAAATGGGACAGATACTTGCAAAAAAAAAAAAGAGAGAGAGAAATTAGATCAACTTCTTACACCATACATGAGAATAAACTCAAAATGGATTAAGGATTTAAATGTAAGACTCAAAATCATAAAAATCCTAGAAGGAAACATAGACAATAATAACATTTCTCTTAGCAACATTTTTTTCTGCTGTATCTTCTCAGGCAAGAGAAACAAAAGGAAAAATAAACAAATGAAATTAAATCAAACTAAAAAGTTTTTGCACAGAAGAGGAAACCATCATCAAAACAAAGAGACAGCCCTGGCCGATTTGGCTCAGCCGTTAGAGCGTCAGCCTGCAGTCCAGAGAGACCTAGGTTCAGTTCCCACTAAGGGCACGTACCTCAGTTGCAGTTTGTCCCCGGCCCTGGTTGGTCATGCAGGTGGCAGCCACTTGATGTGTCCCTTTCATGTTGATGTTTCTCGCTCTCTTCCTCCCACTCCATCTGAACAAAAAATGGAAAAATGTCCTCGGGTGAGGATAAAAAAACAAAACAAAAAGACAGCCCTGGCCAGTTTGGCTCAGTGGTTGCAGTGTCAGCCTGTGGTCTGGAGAGACCCGGGTTCGGTTCCTGCTAAGAGCACGTACCTCGGTTGCAGTTTGTCTCTGGCCCTGGTTGGGTCGTGCGGGTGGCAACCACTCGATGTGTCCCTTTCACGTCAATGTCTCTCTCTCTCTCCCTCTCTCTCTTCCCCACTCTATCTGAACAAAAAAAAAAAAAAAAAGGAAAATGTCCTTGGATAAGGATAAAGGAAACAAAAACAAAGAGACAACCTGCTGAATGGGAGAACATATTTGCCAATGATATATCTGATAAGGGGTTAATATGCAAAATTATAAGAACTTTGATGACTAACACAAGAAAAACAACCCAATTATAAAGTGGGCAGAGGACTTGAATAGACACTTCTCCAACAAAGACATACCCATGGCCAAGAGACATAGTAAAAGTTGCACAGTATCACTAATTGTCAGAGAAATGCAAATCAAAATCACAATGAGATAGCACCTCACACTTGTCAGAATGGCTGTCATCAATAAATCCACAAATGGCAAGTGTTGGTGAGGATGTGGAGAAAAGGGAAT